ATTTGCACATACAAGGTCATAGGACTTATAACACTTGCTACATTTTAAACATTCTCGGCTATCCACGCTGTTCCGACAACCAGCACAAATAGTACTCCTAGACGCCATCTGTGAATTCTAAGCGGTAACTGGTACGCAAACAATCAATTTGGTGCAGAACTGGATTTTGTTGTTATTCTATTACACTTCACAAACTTCAATGTATTTATTTAATTGTGTGGAGTCATAGTACAAAGTTGTTACTTAGTTAATAATATAATAAAATAATAATAAATATTATCATCCAATATTTTTGTCGACATAGGTTTGAACTCAGGCCGCCGATGCAAACACTCGGTTATGGAACGCAGTTCATCTGCAACGCCACGACACTCTATGACGACGAGGACGAATCACTTGTACAATTCCTTTGTTGTATGACGTAAACAAAGTGTGACTAATGCAATATAAACTCACTGCAAGTCACGTACACACTTTTTACATCACAACGTAGTAGTAGTAGTGTAGTAATCACACAAAATTGTCCATAAGTCACTTGCACTAGAAAAGACCACACACATTCAAAGTCACCGCTACAATAACACAAATTAAATAGTTAAATTTTTCTCTTGTTTACACAGTCAAAGAGGCAGAAACGTTTTCCAGTGGTATTTCTTCTTCTGGTTCAGCTCAATGTTTACTTTTTATTGTGTTTTCCACTATTTCTATTTTTAATTGTTTATTTTATGAGGACTCGATATTGAAGTTGTAAATTGAATATATAATATATATTTTATTGATAATAAAAGCTACATAATGTATATTTAATATTATTGATATTTTAGCGAGTAAATTAGTATTTTTTTTTAATGAAAATTAGACTATGGGAAATATGTTGTATAAAAAATTGCATACTGATGATATTGGGTGGAATTTTCAAAATGTGACTGTTACGTTTTTCAAAAATTGAACATACCTTTACAGCAATATGATCGAATTTGTCAAAATTTATTCCTAAACTAATCCAATTGCCGAACATTTCGTCTACATTCTCTGTGGAGTCTGGTGGTATGTAGGTTACAGGCTCAGGCTTCATGACTTCTCCATCACCTTCATATGTAACCAAAATAAGCTTATATTAAGACAAGGTTGCATTATTAAAAAAACGTTTTAGTAAATAATTTATTGTATAAAATTAATATACATAAAAATAGCTATAACACCACGAACATTTGAATTATCACAGCCCCGTTTCACGTTGTCTTAACAAACTGTAACAGACAAAAATAATGATTTTTATATTCTAACTTAATAATTCTTCCGAAGCTTTCTAAACCTTTGGCAGACACATTTCTTTGACTGTGTCATATAGGCACATCACATTTTCGATCACAGGTCCTTCCGCATTATACGCCAAGGTAACAGTTTTGAATACCATCGCACTTTTTTGACGATACTAATTATTTAGGAGTCTCGGAGGACCTTCATTGGAACACCTCCAAGTGAGTTTTGCTCCGGAAACGCGTCAAAAATTTTATAAAGATTTATAAAGTAAACTTTGCACTGTAAAACTAATTACCGCTAGTCTAGCATAAACCACATTCAAAATGGCCGATTAAGTTTATAAAATTAATAGGGATGTGAAAAATAATCGATTTTTTTAAAAGTGAAAATCGATTTTTGTATTCGATTTTAATATTAAAAATAATTGAAAATTCGGCGACCAAATATTCATATACTAACTCTAACTTAACCAATCTAAATAATATTTGTTTTTGTGGACAGCTCCGATCTAAATAGTAATTGTTTATTCAAGCCTCGGCTTCTCGGCGTCCTGGTCGCCTTCGGCGACCAAATATTCATATACTAACTCTAACCTAACCAATCTAAATAATATTTTTTTTGTGGACAGCTCCGATCTAAATAGTAATTGTTTATTCAAGCCTCGGCTGGGTCTGCGTGTTCTTGGCGCCCGCGAATCATATATACTTACACTAACCTAACCAATCTAAATAATATTTGTTTTTGTGGACAGCTCCGATCTAAATAGTAATTGTTTATTCAAGCCTCGGCTTCTCGGCGTCCTGGTCGCCTTCGGCGACCAAATATTCATATACTAACTCTAACCTAACCAATCTAAATAATATTTTTTTTGTGGACAGCTCCGATCTAAATAGTAATTGTTTATTCAAGCCTCGGCTTCTCGGCGTCCTGGTCGCCTTCGGCGACCAAATATTCATATACTAACTCTAACCTAACCAATCTAAATAATATTTGTTTTTGTGGACAGCTCCGGCGCTACGGGAAATGCAGCCCCCACCCGCTGTAACAAAGCACAGGCATTATGAAAGCTGTAGCGGCTGAGGCTGGTCGCCGAAGGCGACCAAAAGCCGAGGTTGCGGAGGCTTGAATCTCTTCCTCCGCGCCTCCGATTATTTATATACACTCTAGGGGTAAGATAGACAAGACCACGTGGATAGTGGGGTGCTCTGATTCGGTTTTGGGTACTTTTTGGATATTAAAGTAAACACTTTATTCTAGTAAAAATTAAATAATATAGAAAGTTGCAAACAATGAAATACAAGTACTAATTAGAAAATACAGACGAGTAGGTATCGATAATTTCAAAAAATTTCGGAACCCTATAATTTATCAACACGAAATTAGGTTAATTTCAATGTTGATTATTCTATAACTTTAAATTTCAAAAATGAGGAAATAATCCATAAATAAATAAAACGATTATTAACAATCGATAAATTAAAAACACGATTTTTTTAAGTGAACGTCACATCACTTATAACCAATAGAAAAGTAGAAAATGGCGGATTGTTTACAAATTTTAATACATTACACAAAACTTTAAATTTTTTATAAAAATATTTAGACGCGTTTCCGGAGCAAAACTCACTTGGAGGTGTTCCAATGAAGGTCCCCCGGACACTCCTAGATAATTAGTATCGTCAAAAAAGTGCGGTGGTATTTAACACCCAACCCTACGCCAAGTGCGTTGTAAAAAGGTTTTAACGTAATAATTTCCACACGAGTGGAATTCAGCGCACTAGGCGAAAAATAACCATGTAAAGGTGTTACAAATATTTTTCAGACTTTTAGTGTTTAATTTTTATAATAAAGTTAAACGATATTTCATATTAATATTATTGCGTTTCAGCCGTAAGAATTTTACCCTCATAAGCCTAAAAAGTTTCACTTCAAAAATCTATTGAGATATTAAAGATAACACTTTAAGACAATTAAATGTTTTCAGATCCACCGAACCACATTCCAAGAAGCAAGATGACGCCGCAACAATACTGACTGAGGTGGAAACACCATCACTCCAATGTCCAGAGCATGTTCGCGCAATTGCTTGAAAAAGGTATACCCATTACTCTAGAATTTGTGTATCACCTTGACGTCCGCGGTTCCAACTGAGCGTTTTTAAAGCAGCTTTCGTGGAACCGGCTGCCCACTGAAATATTTCCGAAGCAATTCGACTTAGGGTCCTTCAAAGGGCGTACCAATTCTTAAAACGAGCCCTCTGGCATTGTGTCCATGGGCGGCGGTATCACTTAACACCAGATGAGCCTCCTGCCCGTTTGTATAAAGAAATATATATCCCGCTTAAATCCTTAATAAGCAATTGATCAGCGTTCTGAGTTCGTACTAGTGTTGAATGTGAATTGATCCAGCTGGGGAACCTTTGACTTCATATTAGAGCCGCACGCTGAAGCCTGAAGACTTTGGAGAGGGTCTTCATTAGTTTATAATGGAAACTTACAATTCTTGATTTCAAAGTAAATACTATTTATATTAAGGAATATATTTTACATTTATTTTTATTGACAGCTGTTATTGAAACTCGTAAATAACTTTTTATTTTCTTTGCTCTGTTCTCTTTATTTGTGACGTGACGAGTAGGTGTTCTACTCGTCACATCACAGAGTATTGAAATATAATTTTAAATGTGGATGACAGTTATTGTAATTTAATATATATTATCTATGCTGTGGTCGCTTTACTCTGTGCGGTGACGAGTAGAACAAATTTAAATTTATTCTTAAATATGGAAGACAGTTATTGAAACTCGTAGTTCAAATTCTATTATCTGTGCTTTGTTATTTTTCTACTTTAGGACGTTACGAGTAGAAGACATTTAAATTTTATTTTTAAATATGGAAGACAATAATTATTGTACTGTCACAGAGTAGATAGAGAACAAGGGTATAGAAACTACACATTTAAGAGGCGCGTAAATTAAATTGGGTCATAGAGTACAAAGAGATTATGTCAATGGATGGATACGCATTGTATAGCCTGTGTGACCTTGGTGATACTGCGATATATTATGAAGAGAATTCAATGTATTCATAGATATTTTTCTCTTTAATTCTATTCCAACATACAAATATACAGTATTTATAATTAACTACCTAGTAATAATAATAATGGTTAATTTGTCGAATCACGAGTTATATGGCGGTTGTTGTAGATATGTTAAGATATATGTTAAATGAAACTCTTTGTTTGAAGCTCAAACTCAAAATATCTTTATTCAAGTGGGTAACCAAGTACACTTTTGAATTGTCAAGTTAAATTAATTGTAAATTTACATTTACTACCAGTTCGCAAGTCAAGGGCATAGAGCGGGTAAGAAGAACTGGCAAGAAACTTTCCGCCACTCTTTTTAATCGCCAAGTATTGTCATACAAATTGTTTGAACTGGAGCAAATCAATCCCAAGGATTAGGATCATTTAAGTATTCCTCAAATTTATAAAAAGTTTTATTGATTAATTTCCGTTTAACCAGGGCTTTGAATTTATTTAGTGACAATTCTCTAATTTCGAGTAGAGTATGTGAAGTTTCCGTAAATAATCATGATTTTTTTCTACATTACTAATTATTATAGAAGCAAAAAAAAAAACTTAGGAAATTAAACATATCTATCTAAATGGAATAATATAAGGACGCATTTTTTTAAATTATAATTATATATTTCTTAAACAAATGTGTGTGTAAATCAGAATACGTGTTTAAAAGAATTACCTGGTAGGCAATCGCATACATAGCTATCAGCTCCAGTTGGCACACTACACGATCCGTTGTTACGACATGGTCCCGCCACGCACTGCGGGTCTAACGAGTCTTCCAGTTCACAGTACATACCTGGGTATACGAAAATCTATATTTATTTCAACACGAAACACATAACTATTCTTAAAACACACGGTATTTGTTCAATGAAGTGTGAATTCTTAATCATTCAATGAGTACTGTTTGTATTATAAGTACAGTGGAACCCGCTTAATGCCAGCCAGACTCTGGGTTCGGAATTCTACTGAACATTCTTCCATTGATGACAATGTCCGTATAAAATTGAATGACTTGAAGATATTATTGAGAATGTAAATCACAAAAGAGGCCCTAAGTAATAATTATGAAAACGACGGCGAGTCAACTCCGATATTGTCAAAGGCCCAAGATTTACCAGCTCTTAATGATTTAAGACGCTATATAGCTTCTTTGAATAAAAGCGAAATCGCAAAAGTAAATTTATGATTTTTTATTGATAAGCATCAAAATCTGTCAAACCGATCAAGTTAATTTAAATAACGTAATTATAATTACACTATTAATATAATTTATATTAAGGTATAATGTAAAATACATAATAATAAGAAGTACTTTTTATTTTCCATATCTTACTTTTTGGTTGGGTCTCTGAGAAATCAGGTTTTACTGTATCTAATACCGCGTACTCTCGCAGCTTAATAGTTCAACTCTTCGCCGGTTTTAAATGTATTTAGAAAAGATTAATGGATAGCAAAAGGTTTTCTGGTAATTTAATAAAAATCACTTACATAATTGTATTATAATATATATGTAATAATAATAGCCTTTAAGGGTTTTCAAATAAAAATTTACTGGAATCAAATTAAAGGTAAGATCATGATGAACTATTTATTTACCCTTCTTTTTTATGTATCATTTGAGAGCATACCGTGATAATGTTTAGGACAGAGACACGTGTAGTCCCCCCGAGTGTCTTACACACACGTTCCTCCATGGTGACAAGGCGCGGACGCACAGGGATCACCCGCGTCCACTTCACAATTGTTGCCGCTGTATCGAGCTGAGCAATGACATTCATATCTGAAAAAAAGAGACTTTTAATTATTATATAATTCCTGTATTATTTTATCCAATTGAGCTATTAGATACATATCTAAAAAGATCGGTAGTGACAGGTATTTTTGGTAAAATCTTAAGCGGGCCATAGACGGACCGCATGTTGCAGCCGATACCGACTGCTCTACGCGGTCGCCGCACGGCGATCTGCAGTTTCCATACTAAATTCATATTCGCAATACACGGACCGCTCGAGCAGTTCCTGAGCAAACCGCATGTTGCATCTATGGCCCGCTTTATTGTACCCATATTTTAACTATATATGACACCGGAAGATCCGCAAGTTCGTAGGATTCTAAACGAGAGATAAAATGTATTACATATTACGCCCACATTTTCGCAAATTTATCAACTTGCGACGTCACGTGGTAAATTTATAAACTAACGGATATCCATTCGTAAGTTTCTAAACGGTTAGGTTAGTGACTAATTCAACCAATCAGAGCACACATGCCGTTTGGTTATCGCTTACTTATTACGCGTGAGTTCGGCAAGAAAGAAAATGTGGGCGTAATATGTAATACAAATTATCTCTCGTTTATAATCCTACGAAAGTTTATAAATGTCCTAGGAAGTTTATAAACTTCCGGAGTTTGTTACATTCCGGTGACATATACATGTTTCCGAAGCACAAATTTGACGATTGCTTGAAATATACTTCAAAAAATTACAAATATGGCCATTTGTATCTAAAATTTACGAAGAGTATAATGCTATAGTACGGAAATTTAAAAAAAAATTGTTTTTAAAAAAAAACTTAAAACATATAACTTTTTACATAAATTAAGCCTATCGTGTCTAGATATACAAGCCCCGTGTCTCAAACACGGCTCGTTATAGCAATGGTCTTTTGGCGGTATCCGTAACACATCCTTTCTATCTTTACCTGAAATACAAAATATATCATAGAAACTCCACTGAAAAAACTTTCAAAATAATATCATACTATTATTCCATTAAAATTATTTTACATTATGTTAGAAAACCTTCCATTGTCACTATAATAATATACGGCCAACCCGTGACCATGCAAAAAAAAATCAGTGGCGCTACAACCTCTTTAGGTCTCTTTACCTCTTAAAAGGCAAGTAGGTAATCAGCTTCCAGTGCCTGACACACGCCGTCGACTTTTTGGGTCTAAGACATGTCGGTTTCCTCACGATGTTTTCCTTCACCGTTCGAGCAAATGTTAAATGCGCACATAGAAAGAAAGTCTATTTGTGCACAGCCGGGGATCGAACCTACGACCTCAGGTAGAAAGTCGCACGCTCAAGCCAATAGGCCAACACTGCTCACTTGCAAAACAATAGAAAATTTACTTACATTCATCAGTCGTTAGTGGACAATGCCCAAACCGCACATTGGTCTGCAGAAGATACGCAGCATGGAACTTCAGTTGTGGGCCCTCGTGAAGGCATCCGCTGAACACGTTACCCACTAATACCACTGCACCGTTGGCTTCTAGGGCGCCGGCTGATAGCAATTCACCATTCCACCTCACGTTTGATATCACCTAGGAAGAATAAAGAGTTAGTGACTTGGGTTTTTTACAAAAATATTCTAAATAAATGTGTTGATAAATAGATAACTCAAAAACTAAACTAAATATTTTTTGTTTTATTGTGATCATTTGTTATAATTCTATTAGGCAAGTAGGTGCCTTCTGTGCCTGACACACGCCGTCGCTTTTACGGATCTAAGGCATTCCGGTTTCCTCACGATGATTTTTTACACTGTACGAGCAACTGTTTCGCTTGCGATGCGCACATAATCAGAAAGTTAATTGGTGCACAACTGGGATTCGAACTTATGACCTCAAAGATGAGATTCGCCACTAGGCAAAAACTAAAACTTTTTATGTAAATGATTTTAATTAATTATTTCAAAATGTTGTATTAATATCTTTTACTAAAGTGTACATAAATCTTTAAAAGTATTTTATACAAAAAAATACATACCTATATTTAGAACGACACTTACAATTAACTTCATTACTCCAATCATGCCAAGAAACGAGTACTAATATACATACAATTTATAATAGTCCCAAAATACCTGCGATTCCCTATCAACTTCGAGCAACAAAGCCGGTGGGTTGTGCCGATATTTCAATGCTACCCAATGCCAGCGATTATCCAGTGTCTCCTTCGCGATACCGACCTCTCTCTGCGGCTGCCCAGGCCTAGACCACGAGACCACAACCTGCTCGTACAACGCTGTGACATGGAGAGTGTACCCTTCCGATCGTTGTGAAAAAAGCTCACCGCCTGAAAAAGATTATTTTCTAGTATAGTGATTGTTATATTATATAGTTTTTTTTAAATCTAAATCATGTTAAAAATTGCTTAGGGTAGACATAATAATCTGGAGAATATAACAACATGTTTTTTTATATGATTAGAACATTATACATTAATTTATTGATGAAACACATTTTAAATGAAATAAAAATTATTTTTTTATCATATCAGCAAATACGCTTATGAGCATCAATAATTAAAAAAAATAAGATCTAAATTTAGTACTAGTTCCCAAATCAAGGGCGTAGAGAAAAAAGAACTGGCAAAAAACTTTCCGCCAATCTTTTCAATCGCCAAGTTTTTGGTTTTCAAGGTAAATAACTGCAACCACTACACCATACTTCAATTGACAATATGAAACTAAACGATTAATAATTTAGATCATTGCACTTGTGTTTGTTGCAAATCAGCAAGTACCTTAAAAGTGTGGAAGCTAAAGATATCTTGATGGTTAAGCATTCGAACGAAAATTCAGTTGCAAAAATTGACGATACATTATTTTTTGTTAGCGCTTAAATCAAGCCGGCGCACATGAAGAACCACTTTTTACGCCCACATCTGTGCTTCTGCGAAATCATTACTGGTAGACATTGAATTACCTTTTTTGGTTAATCATGGGTTTTCTTAAAGCATCTCTATGCACTCAACAGCAGCGTTCACACGTGAACGCTTCTTTGAAAATAATAAATCTCCGTAAAATATCATAATATTCATTTCTAATACAATATTATTATTAAATTAATTATATTATATTTAATACATAAGTGATTATAAAAATTTCGGGTTATTAGACAAGGCATTTATCAGACTAGGCCAGAAGCTGTAGTCGCGTAGTATTTAGATTATATTTATACATTTTTAAAATACAGTGGATTTCATTTATTACGACCTTGGTTGTAACGACCAGTTAGCTATAGCGACGTTAAATCTAACTCCTTTGAATTAGTTTTATTAATTATTTAAAGAATACTTTAGTAGAAACTTCATAGCTATATATATATTTATGGCGACTTTGGATATAACTGAGTTCGGGTAAAGAAACTTTTTTTTAAATTAATCATTTTTGTAACAAATGCAATTAGGTACCCGATGGGTTCTTTACAAAAGTGATTTTTTACAATACGTAAAAGGGTCCTTCAGGCAACCGTTTGATAAAACAATACGACATATACGACGTATACTCACCAACACAAGTGCGGTAACTAAGTCCAACTAGCTGTTTAAGCGAGATAGGCCTCGACAGGCGATCTGACGGGCCGAGGGGCGTTGCTGCTTCACTTTGTGCAAACGTGATCACGACGCAACCTGAAAATGACCAAATAATATTAAACTAAATTAACAAGACACGTAACAACAGCATTACACGATGTCGTTAATTATTTTTTCGATGGGGTTATCTTAAAACAAGAGTTTATGATACCCCCTTTACGAATTTTGAGCAGTTGAAGACTAAAATAACGAGAGAAGTGAGAGCTATACCAGTAGACGTCCTGTGGCGTGTCTCTGCAAATTCGCTAGTCCTCTTTCAAGAGTGCATTCACCCTGATGGAAGACATCTTGACGGTGTAATATTCCGTACATATCATTCGCACTAATACATTATAATTCACTGCAATTATAATATTACAAAAACATTTTTTAATATAAATATTTAATGTTTAATGAACGCTGAGACATCGTTTATTATAGCAGTATGTTGAATGTTGAGTGCAAATATATGTCGGAGATTCACCGCGATTAATAATTACAAAGTTGGTATCACTACCGTCGACCGACATTATTACTTAATTACTTAATATTTAAACACAGTCAGTGCGCACATCCGGCGCAGGCGCCGATCGGAAAGCAACTCAAGCTCTTCACGACCGATTTTACGCACTACTGACAGCTTGACTTTGACAATTGACACTTTACAACCTGTAAGATATCTATGATATTGCGTGGTGTTGCCATTGTAATCAAACAAATTACACCGTGTTCTATTATATCCTAATCTCTGACACGGCCATTCTGATAACCAACGCGCTCTCGCGTTGCTGCTGCATGTCACAGCCAGCCTTAATTGCCGTTTCACCACGCAAAACATAAGTAAAGCTTTTAATAGCTTTCAACTTTACACCAATCAAGGCGTAGATGCCTTCGTATTACAACTTTATTGGATAGAAAAGCGTTAAAGCTTTCAACACTTCTTAAAAGCAGCACATCAAACACATCGCAAAGCGTCCCAGCTTTCAGCATCACCATTGTTAAAATAAATCAAAGATTAAACCACAGCAAAGCGTCCAAGCTTTCAGCATCAACATTGTTCAAATAAATCAAAGATTAAACCACAGCAAAGCCTCGAAGCTTTCAGCATCAACATTGTTCAAATAAATCAAAGATTAAACCACAGCAAAGCGTCCAAGCTTTCAGCATAAAAATTGTTCAAATAAATCAAAGATTAAACCACAGCAAAGCGTCCAAGCTTTCAGCATCAACTTTGTTCAAATAAATCAAAGATTAAACCACAGCAAAGGGTCCAAGCTTTCAGCATCAACATTGTTCAAATAAATCAAAGATTAAACCACAGCAAAGCGTACAAGCTTTCAGCATCAACATTGTTCAAATAAATCAAAGATTAAACCACAGCAAAGCGTACAAGCTTTCAGCATCAACATTGTTCAAATAAATCAAAGATTAAACCACAGCAAAGCGTCCAAGCTTTCAGCAACAACACTAGGCCAAATAAATGCAAAGCGTCTAAGCTTTCAGCAACAACACTAGGCCAAATAAATGCAAAGCGTCTAAGCTTTCAGCAACAACACTAGGCCAAATAACTGCAAAGCGTCTAAGCTTTCAGCAACAACACTAGGCCAAATTACTGCAGAGCCTCTAAGCTTTCAACATCAATAAGGAGTCAAATAAATTTGAGACCCAACTACTGCAAAGCGTCCCAGCTTTCAGCAGATCATTAGGACAAAGCGATGAAGCTTTCAATCCATCCTTGTCACAAAGCGTAATAACTTTTAGACAACATAAAACCTTTTAACAATCAATAACGATCATAAATTGTGTATTAAATAAAATACCATCACGATCTAGACCAACAAAACTAAAGAAAAATTCATCTCCTCAATTGTTCACGGCTTAATACAACAATTCAGTTCAGACAACATAAAGCCTTTTAACAATCAATAACGATCATAAATTGTGTAATAATTAAAAAACCATCACAATCTAGATTCTAGATCAACGAAACTAAACAAAAATTCGTCATCTCCTCAATTGTTCACGGCTTAAATACAACTTAATTTCTCGGAGTAGTGAGGTCTCTCCGTAAAGCCCGTGAAGTGCCCAGGAGACTTCTGTGCTTCTGCAAGGAGCTAGACTGGCTAAATTAACCAGGGCTTTACGCACAACGGACCAATTATGAGTGAAGCGAAGTGCGGAAACTGAGTCCACCAACTTTAAATCTTAACCCTTAATCCCCCAAACTTATGAAACACATTACCAAATGGAATCTGTTTTACAATGACATAAAATTAATAATTTATAGTTACTATGGGGTCAACACATTCTGACAACTCAGGCAGACTAGCCAGATATTTACGCAATCATTCGTGGCACACATATTGGGACCATCCCCCAGATAATGGCACACAAATGTAACGATCATTCAATCATACTTTAGTGATCTTACATGGACCATTAATTTTTTCCGTTAACTTGTTAATTATACGTCAAAACGTGTTTCATCTCTTTTGCCTGCTCGTCCATCCTACTTTTAGCTATTTGTCTTACTTCTATCAAATCCTGATTCTCACTAGTATGAAGATCTATAGCATAGAGTTCACTCTAGGTGGACTCTTGTAACAGCCAAATAATAATTGAAATGGACTCTTACCCGTACTTTTCGAAACAGTACAATTTAAAACTAATTGAACTTTACCGATAACAGATTTCCAAGACCTGTTTTCATGATTTTCAGCGACTGTAAAACAATTAGTTAAAACGGACATTAGGCGCTCCACTTGCCCGTTACCACGATAGACGCTACTGGCGATTTCATGTAATTCAATAGACCATTCTTTACAAAGTTTTTTTAAAAATCTTGTCCCATGAATAAGGTGCCCTGATCTGATATAATACGCTTAGGTGTTCCGAACATATGGACAAAGCTTTTAAGGGCTTCGCAAGTAGATTTCGAAGTTAAATCTATGACAGAAGTTGGATGACAAAACTTTATGAATGCGTAATGTGTGACAATCACATATTCTTTTGTGATCCTACCACCAATTAATTTTCCGCTCGTATCTATGTGTATGGTATGAAATGGTATGTTTTAGTTCACCATGAAACCTTCATGAATTAATTGCCAACGACAATATTTGGGGACTATGACGCGACTCAGAGTCTTGCTATCAACTCGAAAATTCCTATACAACAAATTATTGTCTTTGTATAAGACGGTTAGCTTCAATAGTATCTTTTTCTATCAATTCTATAATTCAATTAACGTCAGATTCTAACTTTTGTTCGGCTTACAACCGTTCATTACTCACACGCGAAGCATTTACTTCCTTGCAACTATAAGGGTTTCGGCACAAGTAATCTAAATAACGTGTAGAATTCGAATTGAATCGAATTGTACGAATCCTTTCAGCCTTTCGGTACGGTTTATTTAGTAATAAACGCAGTCTTTTAAACATCGTCCTATCATCTTATTAATATCTGATGAAATCTAAAGGCCACGACTAAATTGGAGAAATATAATGCTCGCACAAGACCATCAATTTGTTCCGATATCAATGGCAATGGGTAATGTGTCACGCACGGTATTGGAGTTAAGTTCCCGATAATCAACGCAAAGACGGTCGACCCGTCTATCTTCTTAACAAGAAATGCAGGGCTAGAAAAAGGCGAAGAGCTCGCACGGACTTTTCGTTCCAAATCAGCAATAATCTCACGCATTACGCTACGTTCAGAAGGAGCCAACCTTTACGGATGACGTTGTACAATTTTGTTAAGATATTTTTAAATTAATTTGTAACGTTATTTGTATTAATGATAGTATTAGAATTTCCACTAGTAAAATTTCCTTTATATTTTGTGACAATAGCCCTTATAAGTCTTTCAATATCGTTACGCTCAGTTAAGTCGGTGCAAATTTTACCCAACTCTGTACTTATGCTTAAAGCACGACACGCATTGACACTAGCATCGCGTAAAATCTTAGCGCCGTCGCTATTAAGGGTAAACATCAAACCGGGTGTTTTAAATATTATCTCTCTACCTAAGATTACGTCATACTGCAGCAAATGTGAATCAACAATGACAAACGTTATTTCGGTATGGAACCCTACAACTTCTTTTTTAATCAGGGAACATTCTGAACCACTGTCAATCAAATTCAATTAAATTTAAATGTCAATTAAATTTTTATTCTCGTTAAATAAAATAAATAAATTATTGGGGCTACAGGCCTTCAGGCCTCAGATCCCTGAACCCGCCTCATGATCAGTTACAAAACAAATACAATTAGAATATCCAAGTTTGTGGCAATAAGAACATCGCGTTCTACTAACTATTGGCTGTTCACTAGATTTATCAACAGACGTGCGGGTGGGTACCCTCATTTTTACTTTCATACTAAAAAACAAACAGTGTCGTTTTAAATGTCCTCCCTTATCAAAAAATGGCAACGACCTGTAGTTAACTCTCATATTTTAAGGTGCTTAGAAGCATTATATTCACCACGGACCTCACGTGTGAATTTCACTTAACGTTTAATGTTAGGCTACGTATTTAAATGTGACACAAAACTAGTCGGAGTATTTTTTAAGTAAATCTGTGCGTACCTTAACATCACAATTTTATTGGACTCACCCAAACTTGTCTCCAGCCGGTCGATCAGCACCATTTTGTTGGTGGAATACCTATTCAATGTAGGTCACCGCGTGGTCACTCGAATAGTCGACCATATCGCGAAACAAGTCGTGAAACGTCCTTATTCCAACACACTGAAGAGCAAGTCGGTCCTTAAACTCTTTCCATGTACGAACACAACACACACACCACACCCACAACGGGTACGAACATGGAGCCCACGACAACAACAGAACAAACGACGGTAGATAAATCTCACTAGATTTTAGCGTCCTTTTATCACCCACACTCGATGGTTTCTCTTTTAGAAGTTCTAGGTATCTTGGAAGCCTGCCATCATATTTTGAAATTTACTTCATAATTAGGTGTGAAATATTCACGATTTCCAGTAGCAGGCATTGCGGTAGGCACGCAGGATGAATTTTGTATCGATCCCACTTCTGATGTCGGAGATTCACCGCGATTAATAATTACAAAGTTGGTATCACTAACGTCGACCGACATTATTACTTAATTACTTAATATTTAAACACAGTCAGTGCGCACATCCGGCGCAGGCGCCGATCGGAAAGCAACTCAAGCTCTTCACGACCGATTCTACGCACTACTGACAGCTTGACTTTGACAATTGACACTTTACAACGAGTTCTATTATATCCTAATCTCTGACATATATATGCAATCGTATGAAAGTCAGTTTGCCATACTATTTACTT